AGGTTTTCTTTTGGGTTTTTTTTCAATATATAAATATATATATATACGCTCAAAAAAATGTTTTTTTTGTTTTTTTTTTATATAAATAAAAAATGAGCATATTAAAAAAAATTTATAATAAACTTTGAAAGGGTAATTCCAGATAAAGCTTATGTCCTACGTGCAATATTCGTTAAGATGTTCTGGTAATCTTACTCGTCTTCCAGAACGCGTTGTTTTAGGTTTTTCTATCGACGTTGACGAAGTATCAAGTTGTGTGTCGGTTGTCGTGTAGGGTACTACGAGTGTAGTAGCTGTGTCGTTTGCTTGTACCGAAGGAAAATCGACGTAGCTAGGGTTTCCTTCTAGGTACGCAGCTTTGAGTCGATCGATACTGATGCTATCTTTCGTACCGTTCTTGTCGACTACATAGTACTTAGGTTCGCGTTGAAGAACTTTGAAGGGTCCTTTGTATGCTGATTCGAGGGGTCGTCGATGTGAGTCTCGACGAACGAAGACGTGTGTACTATGTCGTAATTCGGGTTGAACGAAAACATCAGTTGATTGAGGTCGAGTGTGAGCAGGTTTAACTGAACGCATAGCGTTTGTAAGCCTACTCGTGTAAGAGTTTAGATCCATGTTCAACGAAGAAGCTGAAGGATCCACGAATTCTCCTGGGAGTCGGAGTGTCGTTCCGTAAACGAGTTGAGATGCCGTGTATCCAATGTCAGCTTTCACTGCATTGCGGATACCTAGCAAGACGAGTGGAAGAGCGTCTGTCCACTGTGAAACGTTTGAAGCTGATAATGAAGCTTTTAGTTGTCGATGAAAACGTTCTACCAACCCGTTTGCTTGTGGGTGGTAGGTGGTCGTTCGGAAGCGCGTGATTCCTAATAGTGAGGTCAGACAACGGAAAAGTCCAGATTCGAACTGGCGTCCGCGGTCTGTAGTGATTGTGGAAGGGCAGCCGAAATTTGCTACCCATCGTTCGACGAAAGTGCGAGCCACTGTTTCAGCAGTAATGTCCTTAATCGGTACTGCTTCTGGCCATCGAGTAAAACGGTCTACGCATGTTAGGAGATATGAGTATCCGTTCGAGTCGGGTAAGGGTCCTACCAAATCTAGATGGACGTGGTCGAAACGAGCGTCAGGGGTTTTGAAAGAGCCTAAGGGGCATTTGTTGTGTCTGATCACCTTAGATTTCTGGCAGCTTACACAGGAGCGTGCCCACTCCCTCACGTCTTCATTCATACCAGGCCAACAAAAGCGTTCGGCTATAAGTTCGATTGTTGCACGAGCACCTGGATGAGAAAGATTGTGCAACGTATTGAAGACGTTGCGGCGATAATGTTTTGGTACAATTGGACGATCCCTACCTGTAGATGTGTCACAGAGTAAGGTTTCCTTACCTGTTCCCATCTGCCTAATACTTAGTTTAAGAGTTGTCGAGGATAACTCATGCTGAAGATCAATGTCTTCTTTTTGAAGCTGAGCGAGTTTAAGAAGGTCGATTCCTTGGAAACTGTTCAAGGAGCTAATTCGAGACAAGGCGTCTGCGACTACATTGTTTGCTCCAGAAATATGTTGTATGTCTGAAGTAAACTGCGAAATGTAGTCGAGTTGTCGAGACTCTCGCGGTGAGTACTTGTCTGAAGATGAATTTAAAGAGAAGGTAAGAGGTTTGTGATCGGTAAAAAGCGTGAATTCTCTTCCTTCGATGGAATTTTGAAAATGCCGTACAGCACAATACATAGCTAGGAGTTCCCTACCGAACGTGCTGTACCTAGATTCAGCGTCTAGCAACCGTCTCGAGAAAAATCCTAAAGGTTGCCACGAGTTGTTAACCCATTGTTGTAAGACTGCTCCGATTGCTGAGTCGGATGCGTCTACGGCGATACTAATGGGCGCTTGACTGTCCTGATGAGCAAGCAAGGTTGCTTTAGCGATGTGTTCCTTAACTGTAGAAAATGCTTTACGGGCTATGTCGTCTAAACTAATTGATTTCGCATTTCCACGAAGCTGATCGGTTAACGGTTTCATTAGGGATGCACATTTAGGTATGAACCGTCTATAGAAACTTACGAGTCCGTTAAAAGTTCGTAATTGCTTGATCGTGGTCGGTTCTGGGTAATCCAGAATGGCCGCCACTTTGCTCCTAAGGGGTCGGATGCCTTGGGCATCAATGGTGTGTCCTAGGAAGTCTAAGGAGTTAGTTCCGATTTGGCATTTCTGTATGTTGACAGTAATGCCATGCCTTTGGAGTCGATCGAAAACAATGTCCAGATGCTTGAGATGCGATTCTTTGTCCGGACTTGCTATTAGACAGTCATCAACATACGCATGTACGAAGTTGAGACCTCGGAAGACGTCGTCTATAAACCTTTGGAAGGTTTGAGCCGCATTTCTTAAACCAAAAGGCATTCGTAGAAATTCGTAAAGACCGAAGGGAGTGATGATGGCGGTTTTAGGAATGTCGTCAGTTGCCATCGGGATTTAGTTATAAGCTTTAACCAAGTCGATTTTCGAAAAGACAGTCGTACCTTTCAAGGTAGCTGTCAAATCGTGAATATGAGGCAGCGGGTAACGATCGGGAATGGTTTTAGCATTCAGGCGCCGATAATCACCAGTTGGCCGCCAATCATTGCTGTCCTTCTTAGGGACCATGTGCAATGGGGATGACCATGGACTATTCGATGGTCGAATTATTCCTAGGTCCATCATGTGGTTGAATTCGTTTTTAGCTAACCTAAGTTTTTCGGGAGCGAGTCTTCGGGCTTTCGAAAATACAGGTTGTCCTGTAGTCGAGATGTGATGTGTAACATTGCTGGTTACACAAGGTAATTTCGATTGCGATTGATATATCCCGGGGTATTTGTCGAGTACTGCTTGGTACAAGGGGTCTATGGCGTGCTTAATCGTGACTGGGGATAACCTGCAACCAGAACAAGGAGTTACGCAAACGGACAACTTAGTGTTTCCGTCTATTAACCTTCGTGAGCGTGTGTCGATGAGTAGATTGTGGTGTTGTAACAGGTCAATACCAATGATTGGCATAGAGACATCTGCAACCACGAAAATCCAGTGTATGGGTTTACGTAAACCCACGTTAAGGTAGACGTACCTTTTACCGTAAGTAGCGATCGGCTTTCCGTTTGCCGCCTGTAAACTTAAAACAGACTCGCGAAGTCTGTCGTCGAGATTTGCTGGAAGAACGCTAACTTCTGCGCCAGTGTCGACGAGGTAGCGAACTTTCGTAGTCACATCCGTGACATATAAGAGGCGGCTGTGTTCGCCGGCTACGGTTGCCGTTAACGCGTGCCGGCTGGGAAGTTTCCCGAACTGTTATTCGTGTCAGTCGATTTTGAAGTCGGATAATTGCAAGGTTTCCTGCAATTTCTGGAAAACTTACCGTACTGGTTATGATACCAGCACCAGTCGGGATTGTCTGTCTCGTGGTCGAGAGCCAGATCGCTTACGTGAGGCACTTCTACGCGGGGTTTTTGACTGACTACGGTCATTGCGAACTCTAAGATATCGTGTAAGCGTGTGACATAGTTCGGCCATGTCAGTCGAGGTCGATTGGGGTTTTTCTTTGACGGAAAAAACCTCGGCCTTAGAAGATCTAGTGATTTCCAAGATTCGATCGGCAGATGCAGCTAGTTCATCTTTGGCATTGTTTTGAAATGAAACAAGCACTGCCTGCACCTGTTGAGGGAGTTTAGACAAGAAAAGTTGTCTAAATAGGCCATCATCGAAAGTTCGTTGGCCGATGACTTCTCTCATTCTAAGCAACATGTCCGTCGCAGAACCATGTTGCAAGTCGATATTGTTAAGGAGTTGGTCTAACCGTTGTCGATCAGTTAGGTCTCCTCGTTTTAAAATCGATAGCTTAAGCGATTCGTAAGGTTCGGAAACATCACTAGTAAACATACTAGGTGTTACGTACCTGTTAAACTCGCGCGGTAACGCCTTAACTACCGCGAGGAAACGTGTGCGCGAGTCCGTGATTCCGTGCATGCAAAAATCGGCTTCTGCATAGCAGAACCAGGACTCGATATTGTCGAGCCAAAATGGCGTTAACTGAATCGAAATAGGGGGAATAGACTTAAACTTAAGAACCTTAGGAGAGTGTTCCGTCATAGTAATATAGATATCGAAAAATGTCTAAGTAAAATATATCCGAGAAAAAAAATTCGCGAAAAAAGTATATCACAATATATAAAATTCAAATAAAGAATAACAATGATTAATAATATTCCAAAATGGAACAGACTCACAGTATATTGACTTGGTGTACCAGATCACGTCGGGTTCATCAATGATGATGCAACGGATATTCTAGTTTTACAACTGGATACCAGTAGCACCTTCTATGTTCGATCGTTCCCAGTCAGATAGAAGTCAGAAGTCAGACGAGAAGAGGCAGGAAAGATATATTTGATTCGTTACCAATATATCGAGGACCTTTTCTATGAGCTGGCTAATGAAACGTAGGAGCTGTGTCCCACGCCGAGTCGAATCGTGATCTGGTGCGGATGCATGACCGAAAGCCTTCAGCTAAACAAGTCCACTGAAACAACGTGGTCAGCATCCAATGTCGAACACTTAATGAGCTATTGATTTTGGGGAATTATTTACAGGTACAATGTATAACCAACTTGTTATTCTTGGATCGATCGTCTCCATTTAGCACTTGAATTATACCTGTATTGTCTTCACATTGCAAGCAACCCCCTGCCTTGTAATGCTAAACCTGTTGACATCCAGGATCCCTACTGTCATGAGACGAACGGATTCGCCCAAGCAACAAGACATACAAATCAACAAATAACTATGAAGCTGAATAAAGTTAGTTTAGTCGAGTGGCTAGACTAATACATGCTGAAAATCACAAAATACACGAAACCGTACTCAAGCAGCGAGAAGCAAGAGCAAAGAACCAATCGGTTTATACAAATTCATGTCGAATAATATTGGAGAAATATTGGAGTATTTAAATAGTAGCGGCTACTTTAATGCATAAGGTCGAATGCTGGTTAAACTAGAAGGAGTTAGGCAAGTGTAGGCTTTGGATTACTAACTGTTGGAGGTATTTAATCTCAATGAGAATCGTCAGATTCCTAATTTTGATTCACTATTATTAGGCTTTGCCACTGCAGCGTTATACAGTGCAGTTAATTATGGTTTCCCCTTTTTATTCGGTCTCGACTAATAGTAGCACAATTGTACATTCCTGCCATTAGAAAATGTAATTTCGGTGCTTGTAGATACCAATTCCGTGAGAGTAATGTATATCGCTTATATCGTGTATTCGAGAAAACTAGCTTTTTAATAAAAATTTTGTCGAAGCAGCTAACAAAGTGGAAATAACGAATAAAATGTAGGAAATAAAGTGGATATTCCGTAAAAAAAGAGAAAACTAAAAAGGAAACGCGTCAAGATGCCTGCTTTTTCGCCCGTCGCTGGAAAATAATCAGGAATTTCTCCATTATGTCACTCTGTTCGAAACGTTGATGAATTGTCTAATTTTTCACTAGATACACACTGAATTGTCTACTATTCGTCTAAATACTCTCCCAATCTTTAGCCCCACGCCTAATTACACGCTCTGTTGGACACCTTTTGCTCAACTCAGAATGTTTTCTATATTCCCAAACAACCAATAAAGGGGAGATAATGGAGAAACGCTCAAAAATGTCCGCTTTTTCGCCTGTCCGGGCGAAATAATACTAACTTTCACCCTTATGACGCTCTGCGTCTCAAATGTCTCTGAATTGTCTACTTTTCGCTCCGATACACGCCGGTTTATCTGATTTTGCTTCAACTTTTAACACACCTTTGACATAATCACAAAGGTCTTCTGTGTTCGCTCCTATTTCCATAACACACCACACTAGAGCTGCAATTGACGTTGAAAAAGGTAGATGTTTAAAAAAAATTATTGAAAAGGAAAAACGCCATATTGTACAACATTATGAGTAGTTGACAGATGCTAGGGCATTGATCATTATGTATTTTAATTGTAATTGCCAAGTCTTATTGTAATTTGAAAAGATCTACAAAAGGAGGAGCAGGTTATGTACTATTAATTAGGCACGTGTACTCAATTTCAATTGCATTTAAAATCAAACAGGCTTTCTCAACACCCAGTCAAAGAGTTCTCTATGCAAGTAAGAAAGTAAGCGCATGTTTATTGAAAACAAAGTTGAACATGAAAAACACTCCACTGGTTATTTCTTCCTGTAACACCTATTGAAAATCAAAATAATCTTGTGAATACTGAAATTGAAAGAACAAAAATGTTTCAACGATATCTAAATGACATCCTTTTTAACACAACTAGCTACGTGAAGCTTTACTTACTGTTATGTTCGTTAACATTGAAGACTGTATCTGTATAACAGTAGAGAATAGTTATCACTTCAAACTAGTCCATGTATGTTCTTGTTTGTTGTTTTTTGGTGACGGTCTTGTAATTTGTCTCATGTCATGAAAATAACCTTGAATCGCGATGTCATACAGCTTAGCAAGTTGTTTTTCGTTGACAGATGATGACAGGAACCGATTAATTAATGCACATTAAGTTTTATAAAACATATTATACTTCGTATGCAGCCATAAAACCTGCACTTCTGAAGTGCTATTTTCGATGAAGTGCCAAGTAGCGCGAAATGACTGGTGATTTCAGGTATCATGATGTATGACAAAATATATCGCATTGATGTTTTGGGATTATCATCCATTAACCGCATCAACATGGTCATCTGTAATATGAAAAAGTGATCAAATTAATTTTGTTGGCTTACAAATCTGTCCTTTATGTCTTTCTGCTAAAGATAAGCGTCCAACGCCCCCAGTTCCTGTTCAAATGACAAAGGGAACTGTTGACTTGATAGTCCGCAATCGAATTTCCACGGATGTTCACGCTCACCAGACTTCGATAGTAGCTGCTTCATATTGTCACTCAAGTCAGAAATACCCGATGATATGTTCTGCAGTATAGTATACAGTCTATCAAATCTCAAAAAATTAACTCAATCAGACACGTGGCTTACTCGGCCGCTAACGTACTGCCTATACGCCTAGATTTGAACGTTAATGGCGACGCATCCAATTGTGTCGAACTAGTTCATTAAAGTAAATTAAAAGTAAACAAGCCCGCCTGGCAATCGTCGAGACAACACTGTCGAACAACCGAAATTCGGGATATTGGACGTGGCTATTTGCAGCCTGCATCTCGGCCACATTCATGTCGATGGAATTGTAAAGAAACCTTTCCTTACGTTTCAATGCACCTCTACAAAATGCTGGTAAGAACGTTGTGTTGAACTCTTCGGCTTCCGAGTGTTTAGTAGCAAAGTGTTTTCGTCGGTTAAGCTGTTTATACTGTAAACATTTAATTTTTTGAAGGAAATCAACAAGTCCTTTGTAGACTAGAGACTATCTATATTTTATTTTATTTTATTTAAACACATAAATATTGGTACAAAAAGCACCAGATACATATGCGCCATACAAATCTCATCCGATTTGCTTGAGGGCTGTGATACTGCCCAGGTGCCCAGACTGAAGCAGGTGGTTTTCTTAGGGGCCCACACCCGGAGCCTTTGACCGAAAGGTCTGATCCACAAGGCAGTGGAGCATCGTGAGGAGATGCAGTCCCATGGTAGCCGTTGACCAACAGCAGGTTCATTCGCCATTCGTTCCATCAGGATACTGGAGCCCATGTGCACCATTGGTTTGGAATCAGGGTTTTCCAACTCCCCTAGGTGGACCCTCCATGTCCACCAACCCGGTTAAAGCGCCGGACATTCGCTTTTCGTCCTCTCACTTTCGTAAACAACACTCCTACCACGAGAAGGCAGTGAGTAAGACTTCCCTGGTAGAGGCTATATATTCGCTGGCCATGTGAGAGCATTTCGAGAGGGAGAGTGGGCTCTCCCCACTCTCGGCCATACCAGGGCATTTGGGGGCAGAGACTATCTATAAGGAATGATTGTCACCACCTTGACCTTGCACTTCAGGGCAGGCTAATTGTCATCCGTTTCAGTCAGTTAGTCACAACGTAGAACTTCGTACGTACGTACATCAATTCGAGTTGCCATACCATATTAGCACAGAGATGCAGTTGTCGATTCAAATCCCATAGTGGTAGAAGTAGTAAGAGTATAAGCATTATGTGAAAGATTAAAGTTTGAAGATGTTACTGAAAGAGTATAATACAGTGAAATAAATTTGAAAAGAGAAAAAGGATAGGGGCATGAAGAATTCAGAAGATTAGAATTTGGTAGAATGCCGTTGCTGCTACCTTGACGTGGTGGTCGGGCTTGCCTATCGCGATGAACCAATCGAGCTATACTGGCTGGAAAAATCGTTCCTCAAGATCCTACCATGCCAGACAGGTCGGTTGAAGAGCGGTGAGACTAAAAACAGCAATCCCAAGGTCCGAAGGCGAAGTCACACTGCCGACTGTACAGAGGTGTGAGGGCAGTAAGGTGTTTCCTTCAGACAACTAGCATGACAGCGATGCTGCCTTCCCATAAGGAGGGGTGGGGTTAGAAGAGGTCGACCTTAAAAATGCACACCTCGCCTGATCCCACAGATATCCGTCTCCGGCGGCAAGGTCCTTTGAAGAACGGAGCTAACGCGTCAAAAATCCCCCACAAAAAGGACGTGCGTGACCGGCCTCAAGCAGTTGCCCCTTGGGCACTGGGGTCACGCTCCCAGGTCGTTATGGCCAACACTAATCCAACTTCTTTTTCAGGTCCCTCAAGAAATAACCTTCCACGGTGTAGGCAGCCGGGAAGTGATATTAGCCCTCATACCCGATACTGTACACGAGACCAAGTTGGTCACATCCAAATCCTTCCTACACCTAATAACTCTTTTGTCTCCACGACTAACCCTTCTCACGTCCTTTTGTCATCTCACAGCGCTAGGGCAAACGATTCGAGCACTTGGAACGTTATTCCTTGTCATCCGTTTGGGTACTGTCCTGCAGGTGCATATTTACAGCGCCCGTAGGATAGAGACAAAGTTGTTTACCCACAATCCTCTTTTTAGGTGCGGTTGGAACCTGCATCCACCTTGGTGTCGATATATACGAACTGCTCATTAGTCGGCTAAACAGTATATAGAAGGTAAGGGAATGGTTTAAAGTAATACCATCAGCAGGAATTTGAAAAAATATATTCAAATGGACTTATATACCAGTGGGAAGAATTACCACATTATTAGCACATTTAACGGCAATACATTTGCAGTCAATATCGTCAGTGGAAATTTATTTGTGCTCATGGCTAACTATCGAGCACATAAGTATTCCTTTATCATTAGAAGGGATTGGTTCCTCGAAATAATCACGTGTGTCAGTGTATAGTCTAAATTCAATCAATCCGTCTTTCTCTATATCGGTGATTAGCGCAGGCTTTCCGTGTACTATCATTACATTATGCAGCCTAAATTAAGTTATTTCAGTGTTCCTAAAGATAATTAAATGTTTTTCGTGGTCAGACTTAACAACTGTTTGTAAAGTAGTGACGAAATGCTAGCTTGCAGTCTACCACAGAAAGATATCTCCACATAACTCTGAGCAGCTTGCTTTGCCACAATATGACCGCTATGCACTGACTTCCTAATCTTCATATAAGACTCAAGTGGGAAGGCGGAAAAAGAATCTAAATCTCCATGCACACAAACGTCATAAGTGAGCTGCTTCAACAAATGCACGTTACAAACTAAGTTTTCAGGTCCGCAACACCATTCATATTCTTTAAGAAAATTAGGTAAATCATTTCTGACCTAATCTGTTGCGCTGCTATTTCATCTGGAATGTACTAACAAATACGTCGCTAATACTGAACGCCTAAAATTCAGATACAACAGTTGTGGTGAACAATGTTTAATAATTACGGGTCCTAAATATAGAAGAGACAATCGACACTCGCTTTCCATACTGAGACGAAATCTTATGTCCGACATTTACGCTGAAAGTCTGAGGGAGTACTTGCGACAAAACTTGATATTAACTTATTTATCTCCACAATTACGAATTTGCTCATATTTCTAAGGCTTTTATGAGAAAAATCTATCCATAGATTGATTAGTTTCGTCGTTACATGTAAGTATACCATGTACATTGGATCTAAAGGGAATGTTAATATCATACTAATGGCACGTGCTCCGAAATTGGAATGCCCTTGATAGTAAATTGATTGAATCTGCTGAAGAAAGATATCATGAGTTCTCAATGTACGTTCACCATTTGAGGACGTCATTTTCCGTCAAGGCGCCTACCAACTAAAACACACCTATCGCGACCTGCGTTTCCATTGTGATTAACTGTGTATATTACATTCGAACGAGCAGGTGCGTCATAGATTACAGCGACCAATTTAATAGCTATGTATTTATTGAACTTAACATTATACAGCCCCACGTCGCTCATTTTTAAATTCAGAAATGCTGTCCGCAGATACTTCGTTAAATTCACCTGGCCTAGTTTTCCCTCCATAGATACCTATCATAAACGTCACTAAGCCTGCGGACAACAATGCAATGACAAATAGCTGTTAGACTGATAAGTCTTGTTGATTGAACGCTATACTCGGATCTTAAGCCAGCCTCGTAACCCTCAAGCTAGAACTACACAGCGACTTAAATACGAGAGAAAAGGCGCAAAATATACGAAGAGCACTTTACTCCAAATGTTCATTTATGTACAGAAAATATAGGGTTTTTATGGTACTTTAGGAGTCCTTGGGTTTTCTTGAAAATTCTAGGATACTACTAAACATAGTAGCAGCGTAATAGTCATCCAATCAGGACCTCTACATGTGACTTTTTATTTTCGCGATATTTCTAGCAAAACTAATCAAACGCTGATTGGATAAAATGCCTCTTAATGTTTCCTGAGCTTGTCATGTCTATTGCGAGAAATTTTCCGGATCGCCTCAACATAGACCACTAGAGATGCTGGTCGCATTATGCTTTCTGAGACCTTGTACCGGATCTACCAGAGAACACTAGAGGTGTCTTACGAATGTGCACAGGTCAATAATTGTGGCTTATATTAACGCATCGTTACTTCTCCCAAACTCATTGTGGTTAATTCTGTTGCCCAGTTCTAAATTCAATCAGCAGCAGATTATCTCTTGTATTACACCCACGTTCTTTCACGGTGTGGTGCAAAAGGCACTACAGTGTCTTTTCTAAGCTGTTGACATTGTTTTTGATGTCTAATTATTTAAAGCTGACTCGCGTGGTTCACAAGACAAAGCGCTTTTCAGTACCAATGTTTTTCAACTTTGCAGTCGATTCCATATGGTTTTCATTCTAGAAACGCATAACATGGTGAATATTCGCGGTTATTTGTAATTAAATATGTATCAAAAGGTTTCTGTAAAGTTGTTTATACACTGGGTTTGTTAGATTTCGATCGTTTTCTTGTCACTATTCAAGTATTTTGTTTATGTTGAATAAGAAAACTTGATTTTTCAGCTCTAAGTTCTCTATTGCAAATGTCCATGAATTTTGGATAGTACGTTTGAAAATTAGTGATGGCGAACAAACGTTGATCCTATAGAAAGCGATAATCTGAGCATGGATAGTTCGACTTTATATCAAAAGTTGTCAAGATATTTACCTTATTCTAAATGTGAAGTAAGTACATAAGTAACCTTTTATAAAATATCTGATCGCAGAATGAAGGTTGCAAATGTAGTACATGGAAGCTCTCAGACAATGCGATAGATGAAAAACTCATTGAAGCTATATGTGAAAATTGCTGTCATGTTCATTATAGCTTGTCTGATCCAAGTGAGAGCACGTGGCTTAATAGTGCAATGCAAATGGTTGACGATGTGGAACGAATGTATATTTTATGTACCAAAGAAGAAGATTATGAAACAAGAAATATATATTTCTGTATTTTGAAGGTAAGGCATCTTAAAATCATTTCCGTCTCATTTCTAGCGCCTTCGTAAGGCGTTAATGAATAAAGTACAACCCGTGTTTGATGACAAACCTCCTTTCGAGCGACCTGATATCAATACCGTAAGTATATGAAATGTGAATTCCATTTTATTCTCTAACTTTTAAAAGGCCGTACGAAACGCGTTACTATTCTGTGCTGTCACCGATCCTCAAAATCCAGAAATAACAATTGAACTGTGTAAATTATTCTTAGCATATGTGAATTCATATAAGATCACATACCCAAGTCAAAGGATTCAGAAGTATGAAAATAAAACAGGATACAAATTAATATATATGAGGTATTTTACATTGCATGTATATATACTTATTCGATTCTTTTCAGATGGATATGCCACTGTTATGTGCCAAAGTTTTGTAACGCCTTACCATATACTGAGGCTACATATGCATTTGGAAAGAATTTCTTATTAGCCGTTTTGCCTGAAATTAAAAGAAGACTAGTCGAATTTTTCAAACAGGATTCTATAATTCCGTCCATGCTGGATGCAAAAATACATTTAATACAACCTTTAACACGGTAAACAACAATCATTTTTCGTTCTTAAATTTTTAGTGTTATCGTACTTTATGGTACTTCATTTCCATTCTAATTATTTCCTGTTCAGACTGTGTAATTTGCTGGAAGATAATATTGATGACAAAACGACTTCCGTCTGGGATCCATATTTTCAACCACCATTGCGTCCCGACAATGTAATCACACCAAGCGGATTATTACAGTCGATTTCTATTGACCACGTGGTCAATTTCTCTACACATCAACGTAATATAATCATCAGTAGATCAAGTGAACTGAAAAGTGATTCAGTTGTTACACCGGCTCTCACTGATCTAAAAGTGGAGAGACTGTTTAGTAATCCAGATTTGGTGAATGGTGATAGGGATATGGTAGTTAATACACCTATTAAATCTGAACCTGAGGAGTCATTTACAAAACCTGCCAAGATAACTGATCATTCAACGCACCGAAGAACAAGTACGTGTTAGTAAATTTTCATTGAAGACAGCCATTTTTTTATTTGAATCTTTATGCTTGATCTGATTTTAAGCCCAATTTCTAGTCTGTGATTTTCATTCATTTCCTGATTGGAGATTGTGTAGTTTTAGTAGGTTTAAATATCTTTATTCTGAATATTCCTATTGTTGGCATCGCCAGATCATTAGCGAATAGTTCTATAAAGACCAAGAGCATACAATTTATCCCCTAAACCATTGGACTCACTTGTAAACTAAAGTTGTGCGATGTCAATAAGTATTTCCGGATACAATAGAAAAGAATGGTCTCCTGATATGTTTTCACTTGTGATCACACTGATTTATGCTACTTATACTGGCAAATATAAGTAGTATTTAGTAACAATCGAAAGTGAAAACTCCTGGAAGCCAAAAGTTGAAATAAAGAGAACAGGAAGGTAATCGGAAAGCAATCGAAATAACAACGGAACTAGAGAAATAACGGAATATGTAAAGGAAAACGCAGAGATGTGTAAATGATGTATTTAATGTATGATTTGCATATTTTACTAGGCCGCTGTGTGATTTCGGATTAAACAATAAATTGGTTTTCCCCACCTGAGTTCTCGTTCACTACAACACTTCTTTTCGGTCAGTACCAAATAAAGCACTTCAAAATTTATGTTTCTATAAAGGCTTCCTAAATGACTATAAATTATAACTCATTTGCCATAAATCTGTCATCAGTTGTCGAATGAAATCGACCCCAGCCAGTTGCGTTTATTAAGTATATGAGATTATTTTCAGGTAAAATTAAAAGTTGATATTTCAAGTAGTTAAGGATAAATCTTTAAAGACATGTGGCATAACACTAGGTAGTTGTTTAAACTGGTTAAAGTAAATAGATTTAGAATGTCAACCCTTAACTGCACACAAGACCAAGTTGGTCACTTTCAAATCCTTCCTACACCTAATAACTCTGTTATCTCCACGACTAACCCTTCCCACGTCCTTTTATCACCTCGCACCGCTAGGGCAAACGATTCGAGTACACAGAACGTTATTCCTGGTCTCCTGAAACCACACTCTAAACTACATATAGGAACTTTTAATGTCCGAACATTGTGCCAAATAGGACAACAGGCTTCCCCCCCCCCCGAATTTGTCCCAACGTTGGACCCAATTAGATCACATCACTATCAGCCACCGATGGAGGGGCTCGATAGAAGACTGTCGCTCATTCTGGGGCACATGTTTAGATTCAGATCATGCTCTAGTGCGATCACGTATCTGTCTGCGTCTTACTGGTCGTAGGAAAGACACTGCAGGGAAGCCTCTAAGGGTTCTACTTAATGATAGGCAAGCTAAGAATATATTTCAGGAACAACTAGAAAAACAGTTAGGCAGCCATGTAAGTTGTGTCCACCCCGAGGCAGCGTGGAATGACATCCGAAAAGCTGTGGAAACAGCAGTGATATCCGCTAGTAAGGTAAACCATAATGTTAGGGAGAAACAATGGGTCTCGGCAGCATCTACCGCACTGATAGATGCTCGTAAACTCATCCCACCTGGCTCTGAGCATAACGAAGAGCGGAGTCAACTTAAGCGCAGGCTTATAAGAAGCCTACGTAATGATCGTGAACAGTGGTGGGTAGGGAAAGCAAGAGAGATGGAAAAGGCAGCGGCAATAGGTAACAGTAGGCAGCTATTCAGACTCGTTAAAGAAACCGGTATTAGGAACCCGAATATCAGTGAAACCATCTCAGATAAAGATGGGCATATTATTCATTCTCTATCCAGGAGATTGGATCGATGGGCAGAACACTTTAGGGATCAGTTCAACTGGCCTTCAGCCACACTTCAATTACCCACGATCCCCAGTCGTCCTGAATGGCAAATTGATGTAAGTCCTCCAACCCTCTGTGAGGTTGAAAAAGCTATAGGAAATCTGAAGCGAGGGAGAGCAGCAGGCCCTGACAGGTTGACCCCTTAGATTTTTAAGGATGGTGGTCCAGTACTAGCAGTGAGATTGACTGAGGTCTTAGGTAGAATCTGGGAACTGGACGTAATTCCATCTGACTGGTCCCAATCACTGATTGTGCCAGTCTATAAGAAAGGACAAAAGTCCTCTTGTGACAATCACAGAGGGATCAGTTTGACTAATATAGTGTCTAAAATATTAGCGTCAATAATACTAGGTCGCCTAACCAAAGCTCGTGAAGAGCAGACTAGAGAAAACCAGGCTGGTTTTCGACCTGGACGTGGTTGCATAGACCAGATATTCACCCTTCGTCAGGTTCTAGAACATAGACACAAATTCAGACGTCCCACAATAGTAGTATTTCTTGACCTTAAGGTGGCATTTGACTCCGTTGATCGTGAGGTTCTATGGCAATGTTTGTCACTGAAAGGAGTACCAAAGAAGTACATTAACCTCATAAAGGCTCTCTACTCGAACACAACTGGTCGAGTTAGAGCCTATGGCGAACTGTCATCAGAACTGATTACCACAAGTGGCGTTCGTCAGGGCTGTCCACTCTCCCCATTCTTGTTTAACTTTGTCATTGACATACTTTTAGAGATAGCACTTCCATCAGCTAAACCTCCAGGAGTTGAACTTTTACCAGGAGGCTCACTTGTCGACTTAGAATACGCCGACGACATAGTTTTACTCGGTGAAGACGCTGACAACATGCAGAGTCTTCTGACCACTATAAGCATCTATGCAGGCATGTTCGGGATGCGATTCTCCCCCTCGAAGTGCAAAATGTTACTTTAGGATTGGGTTGCAGCGGCACCTGAACTAATGATAGGGAGTGAAGTAGTTGAGCGTGTAGACCACTTCACTTATCTTGGGAGTCTCATCAGCCCTTGTGGTCTGGTATGTGACGAAATCTCAGCACGGATACAGAAGGCTCGTCTAGCTTTCGCCAACTTGCGTCATTTATGGCGTAGGCGAGATATCTGTCTAGCAACCAAAGGACGGGTTTACTGTGCAGCAGTTCGCTCCGTCCTACTTTATGGCAGTGAAACATGGCCAATAAGAGTAGAGGATATTCGTAGGCTACTAGTGTTCGATCATAGGTGTCTTCGAAGCATTGCTCGTATATCCTGGGACCACCGGGTAAGTAATGCAGTTGTTAGGAAACGAGTACTAGGTAGGGATGGCAAATCGATTGATGAAGTAGTGAAACCTCATCAGTTGAGATGGCTGGGACATGTGTTACGTATGCCCGACCACCGAATGCCCCGACGTGCAATGTTTCATGGTGTAGGAGTAGGTTGGAAGAAAGCTATGGGTGGCCAGACCAAGACTTGGCACAAATCAATGAAGTCACTGACAAGTGGACTGGGCCATGTTGGTAGGTGTAGACTACCTGGTTGGGATTCGCGAGATGACAGCAACCGATGGTTAGAGACCTTGAATGACATGGCTCAAAATCGTTTGCAATGGCGAAGATGCATCCACTCTTTGTGTTCTACCAAATTCTAATCTTCTGAATTCCTCATGTCTTTATCTTTTTCTCTTTCCGAATTTATTTCACTGTACTATACTCCTTCAATAATTTCTTCAAACCCTAATCTTTTGAATTTCTGATTATACTCCTACTACTTCTATCACTATGGGATTTGAATCGACAACTGCATCTCTGTGCTAATGTGGTATGGCAACTCGAACTGACGTACGTACGTACGAAGTTCTACGTTGTGACTGACTAACCTTTAGTCAAAACACCACAGTAAAAGATGAAAAAGCAATCTGCTCTCAGACAAAGCAACAGGGACGAGACATTTAGAGAAACAGTCCGTCTGGTTCACCGCTGCTCTGCGCTTTGTAAACCAACCTTCTGAAGGCTCTCCGTCCCTATATTTACGTCCGGATCAGTGCTTGTAACAATCTACCATCCGAAGTCTCTGTCAACTGTTGGTCATGTCTAGTAAAATCATGGGGTCATCATTGCTGAAGTTGAGAGTAGCGTGACACTCTGATGTCTTAAGCCGGTTAATATATGAGTAGAATGGACGAAAGTCATAGTTAACCTGCGCACCATGGTCAGTTGTAAGCGCTGATGGGACCCCAAAGTTTGCTATTCAGCGCTTCATCACTTTTCTTATCACTGTTGCTGCTGTCATGTCCTTCAGTGGATAGCTACGGGTCATCTAGTAAATCTGTTGATATATGTTAGCAAGTTTGTTTACCCGCTCAAAACTGATAGCGGTCGCACAACCTGAATATAAATATGGTCAAATCTTGTGTTTGGTGAGTGCAAGACTCCTATAGGAAACATGGTGCATCTGTGGGTCTTCGGTTTCTGGCACTGAATATATTCTCCCTCCCATTTTCGTAAATCTCTCTTTGTATTTGATCATACAAATTGATCTGTAATAAGTTTTACTGTTGCTTTAATACCTGGGTAAGATACGCTTAGTTTTTCAAAAATACTTCGTCTCATGCCGGAAGGTACAGAGGGGCGAGTTTTACCTCTCGAAATATCATAAATCAATGCTTCCTTTTCATTCGCAGGAAAGTTTCGAAATATTAACGTTGTTTTCTTAGACTCGAAAAGTTTGTTAAACTCATTGTTGAGCTTTTGGAGCTTTGCCATCTCTTGATAACTTGTGTCAGGGACTGCGAAAGCGTTAATATCTTTCCTTGATAATCCATCTGCAAAGTCGTTTTTCTTACCTTTTATATACTGTGTCAGTAGTAAACTGAAATAAAATTGAGGTGTTGTAAGTTTCTTGGAGAATAATTGGCATCAATGTTTACTGTCGCTCTGGCTTATAATCGGTGTAAACCATGAACTGTATGCCGTTTACTATGTATCAAAAATGTTTGACAGATAGATTACCAACAACTCCCAACTAAAACATACTATAAAGCGTTTATCTTGGATTAAGTCTTCTAGTATATTGTTAATATAGGCTTGTGTGAATGACAATTCATATTGTACTTGGTCATTATACCTTTTAAAATAATGAATATATTTTTTCGTTGTAACTCAGTGAGTAGGAAAATTGTATTTCTGACGTTTCGTGATTTAATGTAAGCCGCTTCTTCAGAGTAAATAAATAACCGAACTAAATCAACACAAGTTTAAATAGTCAGAAATACAAATTTTCTACTCATTGGTTTATAACAAAAAAAACATTTATTATTAAATTTCTAACAATGCTCAGTTTATTTGAAACTATCAAGTTCATCCTTGACATTGATATCTATAAACCTTTTAAAAATTTACTGCGTTAGATAATCCAAACAGAATTCTTACAAGTTCGAATAAACCAAGCGGTGTTGTAATTGATGTTTTTGGAACTTCTTTTGGCTCTACAGAAATGTAGTGATACCCTCGGACTAAGTCAGTTTTGGTAAAGATACTATTGCCAACCATGTTCTTGTTGCCATCATGAATGTGCGGTATAGCGTATTTATCCCCACGGCATGATCGAAGGTTGTACAATGCCCCATCTACTCACCTTATCAGTTTCTTCTTTCGCTATATTTATTTATTTGAACACATAAATATTAGTACAAGGGGGCACCAGATATATATGCGCCAAGTAAGTCACTTGATATGTGTGAGGGCTGTGATACTGCCCGGATGCCCAGACCGAAGCAGGTGATCTCAGGAGGCCACACCGGGAGCCTTCGACCTAAAGGTGTAGTCCACAAGGCAGTGGAGCAGCGTCAGGCGATGCAGTCTCATGGTAGTCGGTGATCAGCAATTGGTTTATACGCCATTTGTTCCCTCAGGGTACTGGAACCCATGTGCACCATTGGTTTGAAATGAGGGTTTTCTAATTCCCCTAGGTGAACGCTCTGTGTCCACCAACCCGATTAAAGCGCCGGACATTCGCTTTCCATCCCCTCAATTTCGTAAACAACACTCTGGTGCGATAAGGCAGTGAGTAGGACTTCCCTAGCAAAGGCTGTATACGCGTGGCCATGTGAGGACATTTCGAGAGAGAGGGCAGGCCCTCCCAACTCTCGGCCGTAACAGTACATTTGGGGGCTATAACATAACGTTTAGGGTCTGAGGCTCTTGGCTGTTAAAAAACGGGCGTCGTTCAGTGTCAGTGTGGCGTACAACACTGTCTCGAACCCTCTTGTTGGATTCACGCTGTGTTTTAACTGATAAATGTATGGACGTTTCAGTAGACACCTTTTATTTCGGCACGTACAAGCTTCTGGTTTGCAACGTTCACAAGTATTTTGTCGGATGACAGAAAATTAACGCCCATTAGGATGGTTAATTATGTAGATGGAACATGGATTCTACTCATATTGAAAAATACTACTAATAAAAACATTGCACCTGTTGCCCCTAGTGGAGGATAGACCACTGACCATTATTATCCAACCATGTCCTGCGATCTCCTTCTCAGTTTTTTCCAAATGTTATTCAGTCTTTTGATGTCTGCCTCAAATTCTCGACTCCATATGTTATTTGCTCTTCCTCTTTTCCTTTTATCTTCAGGAACCAATGTTACGACTTGTCTAATGATGTACTTTGGTGGTTTCCTCAATGTTTGTCCCACCCACCTCCATAATCTTTTCGTAATTTCTTATTTAACCGAAAGTTGGATGGTTCTTAACCGTCGTAGGTTATTGCTGACGGTATCTGGCCAACAGAGATTGATTATCTTGCATTTATAATTGTTTATAAATACTTGTACCTTTAAGATAATGGTTGTAGTTGTTCTTCATATATCTACTCCTTACAGTAGAACCGTCTTTATGTTCGTATTGACTGGTCGCTCTGGTTTACAATATTTCGTTGCCAGTTGCATTGTTGTGTCATATAGTTGTCTCATACTTCCTCGTCTTGCAGCTCTTTCCGCTGTCATCGCTCGGTGTTCCACGTATTTCTGCTTGTTGGTTTTAATGCCAATCTTCACTCCCTTGTTTAGTTCTATGTATTCGGTCTGTGCCCTGACTTTCACTGTTCTTGTTCAGTTATTGTTAGTTGGTGTCTTCTTGTTCTTCATTTCGTGAATCCTGTCCGAGGTCTCAATAAGGATCAATTCCTTATGATGATGCTTGTTGCGGCCTAGAACCTCTTGGCACGTTGACGTTAGTGTATCTTTGGTCCCTTTCCATTTGTTTTCCACAGTAGTTTCTTTTTCTTTGAGTAGATCCTGTAGAATTTGTAACCTATTGTTGAGCTCGTCGAGTTTATCAGTATGTCGAAAGAAGTCTGTACTGAGCCTTTGTAATGCTGTTCCTCTAGTTGTGCGGTGCTTTTTTAGCTTTAGTTGCATATTGGCAACCACCAGGTAGTTGGTTATCTGAAGCTATGGAGCTCATCTCTTTGGTCCCAAGTATTTCATTGATCTTCTGAACTTTTCATTGATGCAAATATGGTCGATCTGGTTCTGTATAATGTGATTTTCCTGTAAGACGCATGTAGCTTTGTGTATGTTTATAGAGGAATACAGCACCACCTACAACCATTTAATTGGATGCAAATAACTTTGCAAAGGTTTCACCGTTTTCGTCCCTTTCTCCCAGTCAGTCCATGTCGTTGCATAATAACTTCATAGTCAGTGTAGTCCAATTCGACTTTGCTCCTAAGTATCAAATCAGGATGGTTATGTTCTTTCTCAATCACTTCTCTACGATCGACTGCAGCCTCACAAAACTGATGTTTATCGTCTTCATTGCTATGATTGGTGGGTGCATAGTACTAGATAACATTCGTTGTGATTTCATCGTTCTATGATTTGAAGAATGCGTTGATGATTGTGGATCATGAGATTCCCATTATATGATTGCTTTTCGTGCTTCTTTGAACATCGTCAGTGCAACGTTTTGTGTGTGAGAAGCATTTTCTTCTTCATGAGCTGAGTACACTGCATTACTTAACTAATTTGGGTACATGATTGAATTTTTGTACCTTTTTGTGTACCTAGCTCTTTTCATATACAGTCATATTGGTGGAACTTAACGGTACGTGTTGACATGAAAGGAAACTCTCACTTTGTCATGTATTTAAGAAAGCTATTATGAAATATAGATATACTTCATTTTGTAACTGTTGATGAAAACGTGATTGTGTGAGCCACTTAGAGCTTTTTTTCTGTGCAGTATCCAAGCTTATTGTTATTCCTTTTCTTCTATTGTTTTTTGTATTTTTAATCGTAAAATAAACATTTAGGTATACGTCTTCGAAGTCAGTTATCGACTAATACACAATCGTCTGTAAGTGATTCAGAAAAACCAAACTGTAAATCAGAAGACAAAGCTGTAGTCACCGATAGCAATATGAAAAAGTCATTGAATGATAACTTAAATATTTCAGATGTTAGTAGTACAGAATTAGAACAAATTCTACAAGAAATGAAAAACAATGAAAGCCCTTGTAAAGGATTTTATCCGTTTCAAACGGTAAGCTACAAAATTGATTCTGATATTGTCTTTTTTAAAGTTTGTTCAGGGTATTTATATGCTTTTTTAAATCTTTTTGCATCAATACACAAATATTACTTTAATGTTTTATTTTTAAGTGAGCTCTACAAAGCTAACAGTGATAAATAAACTCAAAGCAAAAATGAATGAGTAAATCTTTCACATACTGTGTTCATTTTTTGATTTCTGTTACAACTATACTAAGTAGTATCGTTCCCAGTGAACCATGATTATAATTTTGTTCTTAATGCATAAATATAGAATGAAGTCATGTTTTCAAATATATTCCATTCACTTCACTCTAACCATATGACTAGTATCACCGATCATCATCCAAAAATATTACTCATTTATATCTTAAAAGTAGTCAGCACTGAAATTTATACATTGTCGGATAATATTAGTGCTTTACAAATTAACTGATATTCACACACCTATCTCGTTCATCATTGTGTAGAAGAATACATGTACTAATTTTCTTAAAATTAATCATTTAGACTCAGATACGCAGTGAAAAATCATTAATTCGAGATCGTGTTGAATATCCGCTTTCATGTATTCAAGAGAGAAAAGTTTTATTTGCTTGTGATGTTCATTGTAAATAATTACAACCTTTTGTAGAAATAAATTACTTATCTGTTTTGTTATGGTGGTGAAATTGGTTTCTCTATTCAACTCGTATTATGCAATTGTTGATTTTTTTTTCTTTTTTGATTACTTGTTAGCTTCATTCATTAAATGCAACAAGAGACGCCGCTGCACGTCAAGAAGAATCAGCTGGGAATATTGAATTTCATATAGTTAATAATAGTTTAAATCCTAATCAACCTCCACAAACATATATTTGGCTTTTGGAATTATTAAATGTATTTGCTTTGCAATTACCTCGTATGCCAAAAGAATACATTGCACGACTTATTTTTGACCCGTAAGTTTGTATACATGATATTCGCAATTATATTGATTTTAAGTTTTCGTAATGGGTTTTTTCCCTACTCAACTATTTCAAGAAATATACTCCTTTTTTGTCAACTAAACATTCATAAATTCCAGTATTGAGTGATTTAACTGCAATGTCTTTTCTAATTTTGCGTATTTGTTAAAATAATTTTCTAGATGTATCTCAGTGGTTTAAGGATTCTTCTTTCAACTGTTGTATCACAATCCAGCATCATTGTTTAGAGTTAAAACCGTCTATTAGTAATACTATTTCTCATACAGCAAGTCTTTCGAGTCAGAGTTTAATATAGTCAAATGTTATCTTACATTTGCTATTATTCCTTCCAAATAACAAAACTGTAGCCTTCTAGTGTGACACGACTGAAATTTGTAATCAGAAATCGTGATGGTTTTGTTATAATCATATGTTCGGTTATCATACTCTAAACGATTTTCTCGATTAATCTCTTGCGACTGTATAAAAAGACATTTAAGTAGGAATGTTATTGTTTTGTTTACATGAATTATCATGTGAAGCTTATTAAATTCAAATCAGTATGTGATTACTTCTTAACCAAGTCATTAGTATATATATTCACCATATATATATTACCATATCTTCACTTTTCCATTCGATATATAATATTTTCGGTACGTACAATTCATTATTACTTATGTCTTTCATTTATATTTAGTCTTTGTTTCATTTATTTCATATGTACACACAGAAAACACAAAAATCTTATTTTGTTAAAAGTTTCTGATTCATGTGAAAAACATGCTATCGGCGGAATCTGTTTTCGTATGTTTCCATCTCAGGGATTTACAGAAATTGTGTTTTGTGCAGTAATTTTCAATGAACAAGTAAAAGTAAGTTATATATATATATATATATATATATATATATATATATATATATATATATATATGTACGTCTTGCGTAGACACATATGGAAGATATTTAATTATACACTGAATTTTGGTAGTGAACTTAAATTCAGTACATCATTCACTTATCAGCTTCTAACTATTATTGTTTTTTAAACTGTAGAATGAAAAAAATTGCGTATTTCTGCTTCGTCGTAATTAGTAACATAAATTTTATAACAATAATAAAAGTGGCAATAACTAATATAAAGAAGTAATTAATTTAAAGTAGAATGACAAATAATTTTGTGAGAGGTCCCGATATTTCCACAAAATCTCATTGGTAACATAGCATTGATCATTTATATTAGAACTATAGAACTTCCAAATGAGTAGTACCATTATTATTTCAGTATAGAATGTGCTGTATATGCCCAACGACTTAGCATAATGTGCTATACTGGCCCGAGTAGGATTTAATTGATATGAATTGATGATATCCAAACTGAGACGTAGAATGAATCATGAATCCTATGACTGTTGCTGTTATCCATGTAATAAATTATTCCATGCTTCACTGACATCTTTTAGGTTATAAATCAGTCAGTGGTTGTAGAATCTTAATTTAATACCCAAAACCGATCATATATATCACAAGTAATATTTAATTCTTATCTTCCTTTAGATCTCCAATACACTATTATCATTCACCTACTTATTTCTTCCCTTAATTTCTGTTTATAATAATCATTATTTTCTTCCGTTTTTATTGGTTCTGTTCCTGCTCTACTACTAAGTAGTGCGTATTTCATGTCTTCGAGTTCCACGAAATCGCTGCTATAAGGCCTATTCTCAAAGTAGTGGAACTTGTTTCTGAACTTTTGTGATTTGGGAGACTGTTATTAAGAATTTTTTCTTGTTAGGATTATGTGCAATTAGTCTTCTAAGAAATTTAAAGCAATTAGTCCCTTTGATAAATTTCTATAATGTATCAAAGGGACTAATTTCTTTAAATTTCTTAAAAGATGACTCCCTGCATATATTATTAAAAGGTTAAATGAGTTTGTCAACCTTAAATGTAAAATTATATCAGAACGCGTAAAACTGAGCATAGTTCCGACAATCTTCGTCTTCTTATTACACTATCAAAATTGTTAGGATTAGTTTTAAACAGACTGTCGATATACAATGAATATTTCATGAAAATACACTTTACTGTGCGTAAATTTTTTTTACATGCTCATTGATTATCTGTTGTTAAAATTAAATACAAAGAATGAATTTGGTTAGCACAACTCGGAGCAATATATAATAGGAGGTTATAGAAAGTTTGCTTTGTTGCAACATTGACTTACCTACAGCCTATATACAGTATCCATCTTATTAGATCAAAGAAATCATGAAATTTGGTAATGTGTTGGCAAATTGTACCTGTGACGTTAATTGTCATATGTTAGTGATATAAAGATAGTAATCGACTAAAACACTTGATTAATATCTAATTACTGATTAAAAAATTTAAACAAGTCAACTAAATTCATTTATCAAAAATCAATTACAGTGACTCGTGACAATCAATCATATAATTGAAAGATGTATATTCTTTGTCAGAAATATTTTACCTATGAAATCTTAGATTATAATAATGAAATCTCTATATCTGCAATTCAGCTATTCAATATCTTTCATTATTGAGAGAAATCTAGTTATTTAGTGTCATAATGTTCATATTTCAATAAACAATACTATTATTATATTTGTAGGTATCATTACCAAGTTTTGATTTAATAAATTCGAATAAATTGAGCATTGAGTAGATTGTTGTAAATATAAACAATATATTTATTTATTTAAACACATAAATATTGGCCACACAAATCTCGTTCGATTTGTGTGAGGACTGTGTTACTTCGCGGGTGCCCAAACCGAAGCAGGTAGTATTCTTAGGGGGTCACACCCGGAGCCTTTGACCTAAAGACCTGATCTACAAGGTAGTGGGGCGTCGTGAGGAGATGAAGTCTCGTGGTAGCCGATGACCAACGATTGATTCATATGCCATTTGTTCCCTCAGGATACTGGAGCCCATGTGCACCATTGGTTTTGAATCAAGTTTTTCCAACTCCCCTAGATGGACCCTCCGTGTCCACCAACCCGGTTAAGGCGCCGGACATTCGCTATTCGTCCTCTCAATTTCGTAAACAACAGCCGTGGTGCGAGAAGTCAATGAGTAGGACTTCCTTGTCAGAGGCTATATACGCGTGGCCATGTGAGAGCATTTCGAGAGGGAGAGTGGACTCTCCCCACTCTCGGCCGTACCAGGACATTTGGGGGCATCTCAATGCGTAGAAAAATTAAATTTTCTGACGTTTCGTGACTCGGTGTAGGCCACTTCTTCAAAGAATAAATAACCAAATTAAAATTATTCCAAAAAATCTATTTTTTTTTACTCCTCATTGGGATACTACAAATACATTATTTATTTATTATTATATTTAATTATATTTATGACAATATTTTCTCTTTCCTTTTTCAAGGGTTATGGAACACAAATGATGAATCATTTAAAAGATTATCATTTACAACATAAAATATTTCATTTTCTTACATATGCTGATTCATTTGCTACTGGTTATTTTAGAAAGCAAGGATTTTCACGTGAAATACGCTTAGCTCGACAAGCTTATTTAGGTTATATTAAAGAGTATGAAGGTGCCACATTAATGGGTTGCGAATTATATCCAAATATTATTTATACAAGATTTTCTGAATTAATTGCAAAACAAAAACAGGTATTTATTGTTGTTGTTGTTACTGTTTGATTCACTTTTACCTGAGTCTGTGTAATTTTAACTTGTTTCCAAATTGAATGAAAGTGATATATTCCTAGTTAATTTCGAAATAGTGTAAATCAAAGTTCGTTTGCATTTATTTAAAAGAAACTACTGAATGGCTAGCTCCAGACTTTCGAAAGTCATATAGCTGTGTTCATTACCTAAGGTACTGTTATGACTTTATAAAAAATAAGACGTATGACAATTCGTTATTGATTTTTATGCCCGGCTTTTATCACGTGAATTATCCACCAATCGAAATACGACTTTTCCGATCTTAACACTATGACAAATCAATGACGTTCGACCAATATGAGTAGTCTAGCGTCCTTTGTCCGCCTAGCCCTTCCAATTGAGTCCAGAACACCAATTGCAGCTTCTGCTATGCGAATCATTTATTTCAAGCATAATCTGTTTATATACCAGACAGACAGACCTCATCACGCCATAAAACAGAAAATAATATTTGTACAAAATCAAGCCAAAAATGGCTGAGAATATGGGATACAGTAATCAATAAAATGAATGTAATTTGGGGACAGTAATCGTATAATAATAACCCATAGGTCAAAATGAAGCTTGTAGTATGATGAACATAGATGTGCACAATCTAGTTACTCAATAGTTAAACAGTAAGAATATTTATAGAATAATCGTCCATTAATTGGCCCTGGAAGTTACTCGTATTTATTTCTTCACTAGGATATAACAGGTACACTTTATAAATGAGAATGATAAAATAAGACATTTACTTAATATTTCATTATTATCTATAAAAATACATTTAGAATTCAGGTAATCATTTTGGCTCATTGGTGAATATTGGAATATATATCCATATGATATTGTTGAATTGTACTGGTCTGCTTGAAAAAAAAAGCAAACCATTGATCATATACCATTAGTTTACCACCATTGATTGTATATAGTTCACCGGATACATAATTCAATTTACATTTACTCTTTCATGTATTAGCTAACACAAAGTATTGAACATGTATGATTAGTGTTTCAATTGTATGAGTTATTGTAATTATGTTAATGGAAAAGTCTTATAGTTTATAATTATTCTATTTATAAAGAGTCGTTTACTTTTCAGCTGTTTAATCCTTTTACTGATCTGTGTTAAGTTTAGGAAAGTGTTCTATTTTGTGATATTCTATGGTACTTCCAAATTACAAATGATTATGATATTCTAATTTTGAGAATAATAGTTTTTTTGTATGATGTTAATGTAAAAGTATAATATGATTGAGTTTTTGGAAGACAATTGTCTGAAACGCTAACTAAGTGTTATAATTGTACCATTCATTTAGTAGTTTTCCTTTGTGATTCCTTCATAATTATTTGATAAAGAGTATCATAGGAAGAAAGCTTACGTTTCTTGATTTTATCATGGAGTCCTACCGTATCTTTAAACATTTTGTTTCGTGAATATTTTCTTATGAACTTTAAAGTCTGTAAAACACCATTCGTGATACGAGTTTGATAATTTCACGTAAATGATAATATCTTGTAAATTATTTAATATTTATTTGATAGGTTATTACCCGGTTGATAGAAAAACGTCGTGAGTCAGCTAATCAATCCTACCCAGGAATACCTGCCAAACTATTTCGTAATGGACCTTTAAGACCAGATCAAATCCCCGGTCTAACTGAGATCGATCTGACTTCAAATAAACTTTCTGTTTTATTTCATAAAATTCCTAAGACAGAATTATCCGAAATCAATCAAATTTCCATAAATAATCATGTTTCAGTGAAGCGAAAACCGTCAGATACTTTTGGTAAATCTGTTGAGAAATTACACGAACCTCCAAGGAAACTACGCAAACGTTTACTCGATTCTTTGCCAAGTCCCAGTCCGCTGACCACAAAGCCACAGACGAAAGCAAGAATCAGTTCAAGGTCAACGCGTTATAATAGCTCATTAAAAATGTAAATTTAATTTGCTAACTTATAGGAATTACAAACAATTACAAGGTTTCGTTTTTTAATTTATTAAAACCATTTTATCATCTCGGCATATAAAATGTCAATATTTAAGTAAAAGTTCCACGAATTTCCCATTGTAAGAATGTCTTTTCCCATTAATAAGCATGTTCTACCTTATGTATGGTATCTTTTCAATCTCAGTAAAAATCTTTATCACCTTAAGATACTTTCGTCAAATAATTAGTTGGCAAGATTATCACAGACAAGAGTGGTGATTTCACATTTTCTCAATTTGATAATTAAATTACTAAAACGGTTAAGATATCGTTTAATCTGCAAATTGTTCGGCAGAAGAAATATGAAAGGTTAAAATTATCTTATGATGATTTACTGTATCATATTTCGTTCTAGCATAAAAAAAATAAGATCAACAAAATGAATAGTAAAGAGGTGAAAAACATAAGACCAGAACTAATGGAGAATCCCAATACAAAAGTTTACAGAAGAGAGGATTATAAACGTGGAATAAGGTAATGTTTTAAACTAAAAAGAGAACAAAGAATAAATACAACTGTTCATATTATTGTAGTACTTAGTTTTAAAGTAAGTACTATTAGTAAAGAAAATATTGATTACAAAAGTATTTTACTCTTGACTCGGATCATCATCGCACGAATCGTTTTTAAAGTTTTCATGTGTTATCTATGAAATTGGTTGTTTATCGAATCATCGCAGTAGTTTTAAAATACGATTTTCAAACTGTGTCTGTTTTAAATTATTCTCTATACGCAACTCTTCAACCACAGTATTTTAGTTTTTCAGATGAACTTTCATTACTTAAGCTTCTGCTAAAAATGATTAAATGGGATCATCTTGATATTATTGTTGGTTAGCTGATTGTACAGTCTTGCAAAAGTTATGATTCAAAATGAGTAAATTTCAAATCACTACTTGACACTAACGGTGTTACAGACATTTAAGTAAAATCATTTGCTCAAAAAGCTCATTTTTCATGAACATGGATGTTTACCACTTATTTATGATAAAAATCAAAGTCACTTTCTACATAGGAAAAGCGTTAATGATGTTTGAAACGACGGCAAAAGTCCCACAGATAAGGGATCTAGCTCAGAGAACCTAACCACATTAAAATCTTAGATAATCTTTTATTTAATGGTTAAAAGTTCAGTTACATATTATCCTCTCCTGGTCAGCTTTCAATTTTTCCTTCAAGAAATAATGTAAAGTTTATGAATTTCATTTAAATCACTTTTTCTAGTTAACCAATTTTTAATTATAATTTATTTAGATCAGATTCATTGGAACCTGACTGGATACAAGGAGCTAAACAGCTAGCAGAAAAAATTCGTCCTATCCTAAATGCATTACGTAGTCATATATTGTCTGGCCCTTTTCAAAAACCTGTTACATTAGATGAAGCTCCAGATTACTATGATATTATTGTTTTCCCAATAGGTAAACGAGTTTCAGTTTATTCATCACTATACTAGTAGTGATAAGTAACATATGTTTCTAATAGTTGTAAATAATTATTTTCATTTTCTGAAATATTCTTTATGCAAACTTAATAATAGTCAAAACATCTACACTTTTATATATAGATTATGCAACTCTATGCTGCGTAGACCCCGTTAGGATTGTAACTACTTAGTAAAAACCCATGAACTGTAATGAATTCACATTATTAAATTTGAATTATTATTCTCGTTTTATCAACTTTTCTAAGGAGAATAATTTCTTAACTCTATTTGAATTATAGAAGGGGTTTTGTGGAGATTTAGTATTTACTATAGTTGAAAGCGTGAGTCAATTGAAGCTAGATCACCATGGAAAACCTGGAATTGTCTAACTAGATCGAATTTTTTTATTTCACTGGTAAAGAATAACCTATCTGTATGGCATGTTACCGGTCCGAGGTATTTGTAGGTACTAAATCTCTTCATTGTCATTCTTGAATAACTAAATCATGACGCACAATCTACGTGACACAGTCTATTCGTACTTACACTTCGTTAGATTTTCAATAAAAATTTATTGTATATGTACATACCTTTAATGAATAACTGTTATATCTATCATTTCATGTCACATTCAATAACTAACATATCCAATATTACCTTGTTACATGACATGAGAAAAGTGATGGCTGACATTTTGAATTAAACAGTTTTCTTGTTATAGCCTGTGTTTTTGGATATTGTTATATTCATCTTAAAAAATCCCTATTATATTTTGAATTTAGAAGCCTAAAAAACATTAATCCTGTTTGTACGATAAAAACAGATGTCTCTCTGGGCTACAATTAAAGATATCACCAACATACAGCTAATACACTTGTCGTTACTAGTTGAGGACATAAAAGTAACTACTTTGTTATATTCTTTTGTTTTCATTATAGACGACAACCGATCATCATCCGTTGAAGGAAACATTCTACGTTAATCTGAGAAATTTTAATCAAATTATGCTAATTCATATATCTGACTTAAATATCATTGATGTATCACCTTACTGCTCTTTCAATTTAATTTTTCAACAACTGATTAAGTAACCAATCACTTAGTAGTTAAATCACGCCTGTTAACTAGTAGATTGGAGCTTCGAACCCTGTTTGGCATTAGGCAACCGGATAGTATCAGTAAGATTCATACAAAATATATGACTGAAATATGAATACGGCATACTTGCACTCTACAAACTCATTTCTTGGTAAAAAAAATTTTAAACACCTGATTTTTCTTCAGATATCATGGTTACTTCTACGTTCTTTTAATTGTCACATGGTTTATTTAACAGCCAATTTGAGTTTGAAAAGTTCTGAAAAATGGAGTTACAATGCAACTAACCACTGATGATTTTTAACTTAAATTAAAAATGTGTCAGCCACTATCTAACTTTTACTCATATCCTTTGCTTTACAGATTTGGGCACAATGTGGGAACGTTTAAAATCGAATTATTATGTTACGAAATCCTTGTTTATTGCTGATATGATGCGAATGTTTCATAATTGTCGTACTTACAATCAACAAGACTCTTATCTTTATAGAAGTGCTAATACTTTAGAACGTTATTTCATCAACAAAATGAAAGAGGCTGACTTATGGCCTTAAATCATATCACAGAATCAACAAAATATGCTACTGAGTTTAATGAATTTTGTTTGACTCTGTCTTTTCTTATGTTTCCTGTTTTTCAGTATAAAGTAAAAGTTTTGTAATTTATAATTTCTTGTATGATAGGTGTTACTTTGTGTAAATGACTCATAGTTTTACTGAACTTCGTAAAGTTGATAAAATTGCTCAAAAACTATCAATAAATATGTGTACTGAAAATCCTGATTTTAATTTCGAATCGGCTTAATTTTTACCTAATATTTTTCATTAATTCCGTGTAAGTTACTGAGCTTTTAAGAGTATTATGAAAAGAAGTGAAGAGTACATGGACTAGTCTTTGAGTTGGAAGGTGTACGGTTGGCTATATATTTGTGGCAGATACTTGAAGAGAGTGATTCGGCGTTAAGTAGGTGGTTTAACTGTGAACTCACGTTGTATCCCTAGGCAACATCACAGACCTGATGAGCAATATAAAACGATTTTAGCGGGAGGAAATAACAGCTTGTTCTGTCGGAATGGAGTTTGGGTTAGATTTTCATTCAAGCGGTGGCGCACATGGTATTCATACAAAACGATAATTGCTTTGTAAACCACTGCTCGCGTCAATACAATAAGATAACTTCATATGCATTCACGATATTAGAGTTTGAGGAACTTATTTGAGAAATGCAACGAGTAGTTCAATTTATGAACTGTGATGACCTGAAAGAACATATAGCGCAAAATCAATCCTTAGCTTACTGCATTTGTACTTTTTCCGTGTTTATATTGAAGTTGATAAATAGAAGTTCAATAACAAAGACTGTTTCATTAGTTTATCTACACAGTTCATTGTCTGCTTACTATCAGACTTCATTCTCATAAGAAACATTTATACACCATCCATAAGTACAATACTTTGGTATGTCACGTTCTCGAGAATGCTTTCAATAACCTTTCCATCCTACCTATGAGCACCCTGTCTGTAGCTCTTCCAGGGTTACTGCCGGTCTTAAGCCCGGATAAAGGAAGGTTGGGCATGACGTCAGCAACCCTACCATATAGAAAAAATACTTGCTAAAATATGCCAACCAGAAATCATATAAACCATCTAAGCTGTGAAGTGGGAGCTGAAGGATCTTCTTTCAGAAGAGTAATGACGCTTCAGGATGAAAGCCGAGATTCTTCGGACGTTACCAGAGCGACCAGTCAATACGAACATAAAGACAGTCCTACTGTAAGGAGTAGATATGTGGAGAACAACTACAACCAAGGTACAAGTATTTATAAACAATTATCTATGCAAGATACTCAATCTCCGTTGGCCAGATACCATCAGCAACAACCTACGACGGTTAAGAACCATCCAACTTTCGTTTAAATAAGAAATTACGAAGAGATGCTGGGGGGTGAGTAGGATGCATTGGCTGGTACTATCTCAAGCCTTCATATGTTACTCCAGTTTCTGGAGAGATCAATTTACTCATTCTTTTCAAGCTACATTTTGACCTCATTTATTCGCTTATTAACACTGTCTGTTTTTATGCTCGTGTGTTTTAATTGCTTATTCTATTAAATACTTGTCAGTATATATAAATATTGAGTCGCACTTGATCTGGTCGAGTTGGCTCACTAGTCTTCACTGCGCGTTACTATGCTTCTTACACTTCTTTTCTGGGTGGATAAATGAGTGTACTAAATATATGTATTTGAAATTCATTCCCATATTTGGCTCATTCCGTTATTTTCTAAAGCGAATTAAGTCGGTAAAAATATACGAGGTTTGGCAGCATGTATATTTTCAATAACAACCTGCATACAATGTATATAAAGTCAGATATTAGACCACTTGTTGGGGATGTCAAATCCCCAGAACTAACTTGGTAAATGGCTTAATCTTGTAGTTTTATTTTGAAAATTTGAATTTAGCTGTTTTCGCGCCAAAAGCGCTCTTTTTACCTTCACGTCATATTTCCCACCTGTAAACTATCTTAACCGCTATTGGTCCATTGTTTCTTTATGTGTGCTATTTACTATGATGCTCAAGGACAATTTGTTACTGTATAAATGCGCTTGACTTTTCCCCTTATTTGATTGCTTGTACTCGGCTGCTTACGGAATACATATATATTCCCCTACTTGCCTTGGACTTCTTCATCTAGTTAGCGGGGCCTGGGACAACCGATTAGAATAGCTTATCGTGTCATTGGCTTTCGTTCGTTACCGCGGAATCGATTTAGTGTCAAGCATAACACCACTAAAAGGACATATATTGCGTAAATCACCAAACCACATCACGGGGCCAGCCCTTACTTGGAATCTCGAAGGAAAAGAGAAAGATCATAGAACAAATGGCGTCGGAAACTGGAGGCAAATATCAAAGGGATGAAAGGCAACCGTGAATGACTGTCTAGCAGAGTTCAATGGACAACCGGGGTGCGCTGCCTATCCTACTTCGAAAGGGGTAATAAGTCTATGTAAATAAGCTACACGCACCACATATAAAACTGTGAAAACATATAAGCAATGAACACGTATATCGACGTAAAATTTTACTAGCCATGTATATAAAAGTCCATAAAAGACTGCTCATTTGTAGCCCAAAGAATCAATGAGAAGATCTAAATAACCAATATACATGAATTAAACGTCGCTCTATTGCACAAGCAAGTGGCTCTCTGATATAAGTAGCTAAGTGGATAACATAGTGTTTGAAGAGAAAGTTATTGGGTTTCAGTCTTGGAACAAACACAAACTCTGGGATGGAGGCACATCCTATCAGCGAGTCCCGAATACGACAAATCGCCAATCCTGGAACCCACTGCTAGCCACCATCTTACTCTGCTTATAATGCGTAAGTCGTGCTTCATCAACATCTATCTAATAAACTAATGGATGACTTCATGCAGTAAAGGTAAATTCAAAACAAGTGTAATTTCAACAAGAATAAAAGTATCAAAATACACTTGAATTATGTGCAAACAGAGAAATGCAGACATTCGAAAAAGCATGTTTATTCATCATAGGATGTATGACGATATCTAAAAAACGGCGAGCACTCTAAGAATGTGAGCGAGAAGAACTTGAACTAGAGGATGAACTAGAACCAGAATTCGAACTTGATGAGGAGGAAGAAGATGATCCTGAATTGGAAGAAGACGAAGACGATGAACGGGAAGAGGCTTTCTTATCACGACGGTTAACATCTCCAGGTTTTTTATCACCTCGACCAGAAGTTGATTGTAATTTTGCTTTAGGACTATGGGACCTAGGCCGTTTAGGGCCAGTTCGAGCGCTTGGAGGACCTACAAAACATAATAACATTTTAAAAATACATTAAGAAATAAAAATACCTAATACTCAAGACAAGAGAAACGCTGAATATTGTAATGACTAGACTAATTTAAATGTAATCGTGTAAAAAAGAAATCAAAAACTTGCATAATGAACTGTATTACGTGAAAAGATAAATAAGACCGCCCTTTTTAACATCAGTAAAAGAAATTATCATATGTTTAAATATTTGGTGTTCGACAATATATCACATAATCAAATGTGTTACTCAATACTTTAATAAAGGAAATAAAACAATGAATTTACTAGGTCTGCGGTAACGTGATCCCGTGAGAGGAGAACGAGGCCGATTAGTTGAATGACTTGCAAATGGACTGCCACTGCTTCCACGTCGGTTTCTTTTGAGTTCATTATCTAGACGACTACCACGTGTTCTTTCACGTTCACGATCCCTAATGCGTTCTCGAATTCGAGAATGCTCTTGCCTATCATGAGTTCGAAAATGATTGTGAGAAGCATGTTTTTTACCAGAATCTTCTTTCACACGATTATGTTCTGTAGAATCAGTATATGTTTTTGAAGGATGTCCTTCGCGATTATGTGACCTTTCACGATCATGCTTCGATGAATCATGGCCCCTTTTTCTAAAAAAACATCAAAGAAGGAATTACGGAAGTATCGACATAGGGAAAGTGATAAAGACAACAGCTGATTATCACTTTTAAAGCCATTGCCTCGTATGACTGATTTTTTCATCGCTGTTAATAAGGCAATGCATTAATCACAGCTTTAAGTAAGGATGAAAACAAATCATATTAAATGATGTTACATGCGACTTAGTACTTTTATGCAATTTTGATGAATGTTTGTAATCAGTAAAAAAATTTATAAGCAATCTCAAATCCGGTTTCTCATAGAACCAATCTAAAGCATTGTAGTTCTGGGTACTACTGAAGGTGATCAAATGAAAAAAAATCTTTAAACAGTTTTACATATCGAGTAATGCAAACCGGTCAGTGTTAGGTAAAATACATAAAGTCACTTACCTGTAGCCTGTTCGTTCATCTGAACGGCCTGCACGATCACTTAGGTGTGCCGTTTGAGAATGAACTTCAGAAACTCTAACTTCTTGTCCATCTATTTGTCCTCCATTCATGAAATTAACTGCATCACTGGCTGATTTGGAATCAACATACTCAACATAACCATACCCCCTGTTAAATTCCGGGTGAATACGATCAGGTGGAAGATCGACTGAATGAATTTCTCCCCATACGGAGAATATTTCCTGAATATGAACCTAGAATGTAAATAAAAAATTAGGAAAATTGTGAAAACATGTGTTTATACTGAAAAGATAAAACTAAAAGTTACATTTATATACACCGACCTCCAAAATATATCATTTATGTTCAACATATTACTTTTAATCTATACACTTTTGGATTTCCAAGAAACAACAACGCTGTCGAGGCAGTTTACTAAAACGTGACTAGTATTGGATTTGTATGTAAAAATAAGATCCTGAGGTAAATCAGATCTATGTAAATTTTAGTGATTAATGTTGAAAAATTATATATAATTTTAGAAGTGTACATAAAAATTATGGTTTCGCAAAGTGGCTTAAAATATCAGAAAGATTCAAAAGATTTTTTAAATTGTGTTCCTTAAAATTGATGAGGTTAAAACTATGAGGAAATAGAAAATTAAAAAATCGACTTTTACCTTCGTTATATTTTTAGTCAACTTCTCAATAAGTACACGAGTAAATCGACTATCGGATGCAGCATTGTTATTTGGAAGAGATTTTTCTGCATTGTTCTCCTTGTTTGGCTTTGATACAATATTATGTGATGTTTTATCCCGATTTTTATTTTTCGATGTCTCTCCAACCTTATCATCAGAATCCTGCACTGAAGACGAAAGTGTCGACCCAGTAACACCTGAAGTATCTGAGACTTTTGATAAGTGATCCGTCGAATTTGATTTTGGGTTACCCTCAGGTTTGCTCAATTCATCCTTAGAAGTTAATGCACTGACTACTTTTTTCTTTGAATCACCAGGTTCCGATGATTTATAAGACATCTGGACTGTTTTATCACCTACTTTAGAATGCATAGAACTTGACTGGCCGGTTGGATGAGGACGTTCACTAACGTTTTTTGTATCCGAGGCTAATTTTAAAACGAATAATTATTTAGGCATTTAGTATTGCAGAAAGTAATCTTGTTTAGAAACCAGATTAAGAAGCAAAAATGGAACAAAATATTGAACAAGTAGTTTTAATTTTAATATATTTGCAAAAATATCTCCTAAATGGGTGACAGACGGCAGATTCCCGTACTTTTCTTTAATTAATGCGAAGGCGAAAATTGGAGCAGACAGTTGACAAATACTTCTATGCTTAGTTTTAGTGCATAATTTGCGGGAGATTCAACGGGACATGAAACATTAGAGACCAAATACCAATCCGATTGTAAATAAACAATCGGTATATTTAACAATACGTAGCAAATTTTTAATAGACATGCTGCGAATAACAAAATATTATACTTTGATAATGTAATTCAGTTATTCGTGTGTATCAAGAAGTGATGAAGCAATATACAGTGGAAAAAATTATTCGCAGTAATGAAAGATTAGACCTAAATATAACTCAGTACGTAGAATCGAATAAACATGTCGATGTAATGTATTAGACGATTCAATAATTAATGTGGAAATGTAGAGAAACAGTAACCCTTTGCAATCAAAGCATGAAAACTACTGAATCCCACATGAATGAATTAGTTCTCGAGCTCCCAAAGAAATCCGCTCTCTCTAATCGCTTTTAACAGTTAAACATACACGAGTTGTTAAGATAGTACATTCACTTCATTACTTTGCTGAGTACAACGATGTAAAAAAATTCTTGATTAATTTGTTGGAAGCACTTGAGTTTATACATTGTTTAATTATCTATGGACAAACGTTTACACTGTTTAGTTGTACCCTAACCACATTTAACTACGATGTGCAATCAAAATATGTAATCAAATGACAAAAAACTACTATGGTATTGGTTAACAGACAAATAACTAATAAACATTGATAAAACAGGATAAATATATTTAGGATTCGAGAAACAGTCCTAAATAGTACATAAAAATACTGCTAGGGTTGAGTAACAAGTTTATTAACAATATACACAAAACAATGCAGCTACATGCAAACCTGTGACAAGATTAGATTTTTTAGATCCCTTCGATGAATTTGAGGAGTCAGATGCTGAAGAGTCATTTGAATCAGAATCAGATGATGACGAATTGGAATCTGAGGAACTGGATGTTGACGTACGACTTCGTCTAGCACGTCGTCTAGGTGGACTTCGAGTAATCTTAGAATGGGAATATTTCCTGTCGTGCTGTCTGGAACTTGAAGAGTGACTAACCTTGTCCGTACTTTTTAGAGGGTTCTTTTTTGCAGGTATCAAAGTCTTTGTCGAACTCTTACTGCTGCTCAAATCTGGCATCTTGTCACCTATAATGTATAACAGGTTATGAAATTAACGACAGAATCACAAGTAAACAAAAGTCACGTAAGTTCATGACTATATGAATATAAAACCATGTAATGTAAAGTAACATGGTCAAATCTGAAAACCAATAGTTCATCAGTCTTAATAGTGACAGTAATCTATAGTTTACTACTACTGTTTCTACTTTTATATCACTGGGATAGAGTTCAAAACGATCTGCTCTGGAAGCTAAATGCTGTTTTCTTCTAATTACGTTCTTTCATCCCACCACAATAAGTCTTATGAAACATGATAAACTTAATTATTTACCGAAAGATTAACCGAATTAATATAACCAGTTGAATGGAAACAGAAATAGTTTTCACCAACTACAAACAAGAACAATTTCTCATAAACTTGAACTTAGGTTTACAATAAGCTGATGACTGTTTCCGTACATGATCGTTTGATTCGACGACATTTTTAAAAAGAGGTATGTTGTCAGTAACGAATAAATTGATATTATATATTATTTATTTGTAATTCTTTTTAGTCGGTTTACAGAAAAGTTTCTGAATCTGAACTGCTTAGATATTTGCCTGACAAAGTATGTAAGATAATTATGATTTATTTCCGTGTATCAAAGACAATAAAAATTATTATCAAGTCATATTAGTTTGAAACGACTAAGCACTAGACTTGATATTCTACATAGTCCAAACATCAATATAAGTAGTTGTCTTTACATGAAACTTTAGATATAAAATGCTAAATATAAAAGTGAAATACGTTTGTGAGGATCAGTAAGATTGATAATTTACAAAAGAGCTAATTAAAACACAATATTAAACAAAGAATAATTAATAAAGAAGTTAATGTGATTATTTTGAGATAAAGTCAACGTAACTAAATGCAATTTATAATTAAAAACAGATTACTGTAGGTTACCCTATCATATGAAAAGTTGGTAAGGTAATGGTTACATATGGCAAATAATGAGTCATTACTTTTAGAGTTAGGGGGATCACGGCGACATTTTAACGTAATCACAAAAATCATGCTTTGGTTCAGATTTTCATAGTAATATAAGTTATTAATATGATACCCAAGGTGGTCATGTTGCTGTTATTCCTCAATAACCTTAGATACAAAGCGAGGATACAATACATTTTGTTTATAGTTTGAGGAAAACCAATTTGCTGAAGCACAATGCAATAATTACACAGCTATTATTAAATTCTTACAAAGTCCAATAACATGACCAGTGTTATGTTTTGAGCCTCTACGTAAAAATTAATTACGGTAATACTAGGAGAGATCAAAATTTCACACTAGTGTTGTAATATATTACCTTTCCTGTGGACTCTATTTGGGTTGAATGCCAGAATATTTATTTTAATTTTAGCTATATTAAACCTAAAGGACCATATATGATATGAAAAACAAAAGGTTACTTGATATACTGAGAATATGGACGGAATCTGAATTTCATAGTCAAAGTAAAATATCATCAAAATACAAACCAATCACAACTGTCAAAAAAACCATCCAAGAATTTAAGATTTATAGACAATTTTATTATAACTTTCGGAATTATAATACAGAAATTAATAACATAAGTTTAAATAAACAAAACACACAGCCAGTAAGATGCTTTATACACAAACTCAAATGGTCAATATGTACATAAAGAAAATCTGAAATGTGATTAAACTAAATGAATTTGGTGATTATATGACGGAAATAATATCACAAAGGGCAAAAAGAAAATGCGACCATACTTATGGAGAACGAGAACTACGTTAAAGAAGAACAAAATTAACTCAAAAATATCTGAAAGCTTGATTTTGAAAGTATAGGAAATAAACGTCCAAAAAGTACCGGAAGTATTTCAGGTAACAGAAGAAATATAGGCGCAGTTTGATAATTTACAGAAGTGATGTGAAAACGGCATCATCAACAACACAACCTTAGAACATATGTACGAAATATTTGAAATTAAAGCAAATAACTATCAATTCATCCACTTTCGACAATTGATTGAACCGCAAAGACATGGAATCCGATCCCAACGATCTTCTTCTAGGTCAAATTTGTAGTCATACGTCAATTCATCACCCTTCTCGATATTCTTACTAGCAATTATCACTATATGGTTAGAATTATCACAGTGGAGTATCTCTGCAGTACAGTTAGGATCACAAGAATGATTAATATAACGAGCTAAACCACCAGACATAGTTGCATCTACGATCCAATCGTCGTCGACTCGAAACATATATATTCCTCGATTTTGCGACTCATATAAGCGTTCTCTTCGATTAGCTACTTCGTTACGAATGACCTCTCCCAGATACTCAATAATGAAGGTACTTTTACTTATATCACGAGCAGCATACAATCCCAGGCCTTGTATTCGAGATCGTGCTAAGACGACATTTGTTTTCCAATCCCAACGTAGTCGGCGATACTGTTGAGATTTGCTGGTCGTGCTCGGAGACAGAGAATTCAGGTAGGTGGGACTGCCGATATCTGAACTATAAGGATGACCAGGAGTTTCAAGAAAAACGTGGTTGTGGACAATATACGGACAAATGTTAACATCTCCGGTAGACCTGCGCCGGATATAAGTTCGAAGCTTTGGTTCAGATCGGGCAGAGCCTGTAGGATTTATTGCTAAAGGCATTTCCTGGATTAACTGCAGTTTACCAAATTTGAAAAGGTAATTGCTTAGACGATCTACACCAGGTAAAGATTCGATCGCTCGAACAATATGAGGCTCTGTAAGACCATATAACACCTCACCTTGTATGTTATCCTGCAAAATTCGGAAAAACGACGAACATTTGCGTGACAAATTTATACGATTTATTATTTTCCGCCAAACACCATCACAAGTCGTATCTTGAAAAAAGATTTTTTCTTCATTTGGTTCTATTACTTCCACAGTAAATTTTACTAAAATCGGATCAACGATGGACTGATTTACATCATCAGGTCGTACTGAATCTTCTATTCGGCAGTCATAACGACAACGCTGACCCACGTGACGAAAAGACCAATAAATTCGAGAGGTCCAGTAGCCGACAGGATATATGAAGTTTGATGTATGGAAAACTCCACTAGCTAATTGTTCAGGTAACAACTGGCCTATTCGATGCAATATTAATGTTCCAATACGTAATTTAAGCTTTGGTTCCTTAACACTTTGCATTGAACTGAAATGATCTTCGTCTGATATTATTTTTTCGACCTGTGAATGTTCATCTCTGGAAATGTAAACCTTTCTTTCAACAGCTAAGCTATTAAGCTGGGGTATATTATTTGCACTTTTAAGATGTAACGGACAATACATTCCTCGATCAGGGTGAAAAGAACAATTGATTTGATGGGCACATGGTAGGTGATATACGGCTTGGCAATCTGAATCAAAACAAGGTAAGCCAGCTCCCAGATTTTTACAATATGTGCAAGCAGTTTTTGAGGCCTTTTCTGAAGAACAAGATACATCCATTAACGAGCCGCTAACTGTTTCATACGTTTCGTAACACCAAAGTATACAGTTGAGATGCAACCATTTATCGGCATTGTAGTTAAGTAATCTGCTGGTTACATCATTTGATCCATCACCTATTTGATGGCATAACTGGCATACGCGAGTGTCGTCACATGAAATATTTTTAGGTAGGAAACTTTTCTGGGACACGAGCAAATCAAAAGAGGTTCGCAACACATTGAATGAGCATACTGGTGGGCTACTAATAAGTCTTCGCCAGCGAATATTACGCCATCGTTTCACAGTAGAGCTAACCCCGAATGATATACGATTAGATGTTTCGTTGGGGCTTCTTTTGTAATTAACTTTTAAATCTTGGGAAGAAAGACGTTTAGAAGATTGCTTCATACGTTTAGGATTGTTACTTTTAACTAAAAGGATAATAAGTGGCTGAGATTCGATTGTTGAAGTAATTGTAAAGGGAATATCAAAATTGCTAACATCAGGAACATATGATGTCGTACAGTTAGGTCCCTGTCGTTTCAACCTTGCTAAACAGGTAGAACTGCAAAATGGTAAGTAGCTTTCTTTATCGTGAAACTTCCATTTGACTGTTTTCTGAGGTAACATTATTTGCATTTTACAATACGAGCAGGTTGCATGTGCTTCGCCACTAAGCTGACTAAACAAAATGACTTCTTCGTAATACCTTTGATTAGAGTTGTGACTGGTAATGGAACCGTGTCCAAGAGATTGAGGCTTGTCGCTGACTGTGGAATAAAGAGGAGGTGTTATACAACCATTGATATACATGTCACAGGGCTGGTGTGATGTTAAGTGGTCGAGGGGATATACTTGGTTTACAGGAGAAGGAGAAATGTAATTAGAATAGGAGTTTCTACTAAGAGTGCGTTTATATGCATCTGATAAAAAATTTTCACGATTTAAACTAGTAAGTTTTTCTTCGGTATCAGGACGTTGAGCTAAGAATCGCAAAATAATGTCATCTGGAATAGGTTTACTTTCAGGTTTACATAAAGACAAAGGAAAATGAAAGTACTTCCGGCCTCGTATATTTACATCATTAGTGCAGTCCCCTGAAAAACGGTTTTGAGGAAACTTTGGTGAAGGAATCGGTGGATATAAGTCAAATGAATGATGGAGTGGAGGGTCTTGCAGAAAACGATTGACATTTTGGACGAAAACAGGACCCATCAATGCATCTGCAGGAGGGTGATTTGAAACATTTTCACGAATTTCACCATCTAATGATTTATGACGCTTACCGCCACGTTCAAGCACTTTTGAACCTTTCCGCTTACATTTCGACCCAAAAGAATCTTGACATTCAACCACTGGAAAACAATTAGTTTTAGTTGTTGAATTTGTTGCATTACTTTTCCAGTGATGTCTTAGGTCCACACTGTGTGATGAGACCTTCCTATTGGTATTTTTGATTGAGTCTTGAAGTAACACTGAATTTTTATTACGGTCATTTGTAGGATAAGCTATGGAAGTTACTGGAGTTTTGTTAGAATAATAGTTATAGTTAGGTGACAACTGTTTTGGTTCAACATGATGAATAGAATTTGCCAAATCAGTAGAACTGGAGTAAATATTTAAAGATCTATTTCCCAAGGAGGAAGTAGTTGGTATTTTCCCTGACCCCATAATTATTGGATCTGGGTCACACATAAAATCATCATTAGCAAACTTGTCTGTTACAATATTGTGTTTAATTCCCGACATGGATGAATCGACTTCTTTTAGTGGATAAACTGATGGTACAGTGGTATTTTTTACCTTTGAACATTGGACCTCTGTTCTGTCATATAAGAATTCACGTTCATCACTAGAAGGCACAAAGGCATCAGAGATGCAGGCAGTTTTTCGACGTTGAAGATGATTATACACATTTTGCGAACTTTGGTAAACACTATTTAAATCCTGAGATTCAAAGCATACTATGGAGTTAGATGTTCTTATGCAATTTGTAGAGCTTGTTAGATAAGTATTTGAGTGATCAAGGATAGCAGAGCACCCAATGATCTTAGTAAAACCACGGTCAGTTTCAGAAAAACAAACTTTTAAAGGTGAGCTGTTTGACGTAGGTATTTTGTCGGAGGAAATACACGTTTCACACAAGTGCTTAAAATCAGATCCACGAGATTTATTGTAGTTTTTGTACTGAAATGAATGAGCACTATCCGAATCATTGCAACCAAAAGATGTAAATGCAGAAGTTTTGCTACACGAATATGAAGTTTTAAATGATGTATCTTGTGACACTGGAATATCTGCGAAACCCGTATGAAATGTATATGAATTGGCGCGGTTATCAAGACTGATGTCTGTACGTACAGACCTGTAGAAGGCACTTTCTAGCATTCGATCTGAACACAAGATAGAACATTCATCATTAGCATTTGAACAATATCCAACAGACTGAGGACATGGAGAGAGAGAGCATGCACTGTTTGAATGATCAGTATCAGTTAAATCTGAAGAGATTAAAAAGTTTACTGAACAATGTCCATCTGAACAGTCACGAGAGCTACTTTTATCACTCGGCATTGATGGAAGTTCAAATGATCCAGGAGAAGAAACTTCTTTACTTGGTGTCTTGAAAGACGATGGTGATCTTTGAAACGATTCATCGTGAACGGATTCAGATGTAAACAAGCTATTTTTATTGCATAAATGATCTTCATCACAATTAGGTGAGCATGAAATAAGTGAAAACTGGCAAACCTCATTTGTTGAAACAGTGGAACTATTATTTGAAGACCCAAAAATATCCACAACGGTCGTCATATCTCGACAACTTGAAACGAATCAAGAGCATTTATCAAGATGATAATAGGAATCAAAGATAGTAGGTAGTGCTGAAATTAAAAATGGATGTTAACAAAATTAAGGCAATTACAAAAAGAAATAAAATGCATAATATTCTCTTTATATATATAAGCATAACTATGAGAAATAAATGCTTGGAAACAGGATCATGGAACATAAATTGGAAGTTTGATGGATATGAACCGAAAACGGTTCCCATCGAAGTGTTCCGATCCCGGTCTTTTGAAACCAAATAAAAGTTGTGACATTATGTGCTATATGTTATTTGCCTTATAGCCAAAGGAACTAATTTCGCCAGTCTTCACTCTACTTACAACTAACTAGATGTACAGTATTCTAGATTATGCTTATTAACTCATAAATGAAAGTGCAGCCTTTTATTACATTGTTTTAGAACACTATATTACAGTACAAAAATCGCCGAAACAGATACATACTATTGAGAAGTGAATTTTTTTTATTTAAACACATAAATATTGGTACAAAGGGGCACCATATACATATGCGTCACATAAATCTCATTTGATTCGTTTGAGGGCTGCAATACTGCCCGGGTGCCCAAACCGAAGCAACATTTAGTTAATCGATGTTATCACAACGGATAAATTTCGACCGTGATACGAAGATTAATTATTCTTGCTTTTAAGGAAGAAGTGCGAACGTCAGTTCCTCTGCTACTTAAAACAATGGTGTTGTTCAAATCTCCTTATCCATATAGGTGTACATTGTTTTTATAGATAATTACATAACACAATGTTTTTGATGAACTTAAGACAACTGTGATGCCAAAAATACGTATGATAGCACCCAGGTACATAAAATACAGAGGGGACATAAAAAACTAACACAAATATATTTCACTTTAGGCTGACACACTTTGTATAGACTAGTTTTCTTAATTCGACACCATTCATTACATCTGATCAGAAACAAAGTGAAAGCTATGGTTTTAATGCATACACGAAGTATCGTCTTTTTAAAAAAAAGCAGCTTACGTATTCTATTACGTCAAAAACATTTTCAGTTTGTCATATAATTCTAAAAATGTGATCATGCATTTGATGAAGAATGATTTTGAACTTTAAAATCACGGAATGGCTAACTGAGTTAAATTTCATGTTTCACTAACTGTCAGTCGATCATCATCAACATAGAGCCTGGCAAAGATTTGTGTTGGCTCAATTTGTCATGCCATAATAGCATGGCAAGAAATTAACAAAATGAATAGCAGAAGCCATCGAGATAATGTTGTAGTAATGATAAATAGAATAAGTCTTGGGACAGAGTAAAACGGCATGCATAAATACTGGGATTTAAGATCCAGAGGAAGATAAAAAGTAGGACTATCTGAGCCATTGTAAACGATTATGAGATGTGTCACGAAAGATCACTAACAATTGATCGGGGACATCACGGTTACTTCAGGAACACTAGACAGGCAGCCCGAATCAGCCTACATGTCTTAAACCAACAGTCAATGACTTCATGGACTGACTTCAAGTTTCAATTAGCACACCCCTATATCGTTTTCACTCTGTTCTTATACTAGATATCCCCAGTCGAGATAGGTGGTGGATAGACGTACGTAGTACTTATCTCATAAACTTTAATCTATGAAGATAAACTAACATATCAGTCACCATCTCATCATTATCTAGTACTCTACATCTAAATTCAGAATTCCTAACTCGATGGTCATTAGATACACTAACAATGGTTTCAAGATATCTCTGATCGAGTACTAATAACCTACGATTATTCTATATTTTTAAGAGCAACGTTCCACATCTACGAAATAATACAGCACGGACAGCTTCGCAGTATACTCAACCCTTTAGTTGGTGGAAGAACATCTCCCCTAATCCACAAGTGATGTAAGTTGGCGAAGATTAACCGGCCTTTCTGAATTACTTACTTTACTTACTTACTTACGCCTGTTACTCCCAATGGAGCATAGGCCGCCGACCAGCTTTCTCCAACCCACTCTGAATTAGGGCAGAGATTTTATCAGACACCAACCCACCAGGGTTGATGGGAATGCAAAGAGGAGTGATCAACATGGTTGACAACTGCACTACTTATCATTAGTTCAAGTGCCAACGTAAATCAGTCCTGAAGCAAAATTTTGCGTTTAGAGGGACAGAAATGCATCCCAAGCATTGCACTGTTGATTAAGGTGGTCAGAAGACTCTGTATTTTGTCAGCGTCTTCACCAAACAGGATTATAACACTTGCATATTTCAAGTCAACAAGCGAATCCTTTGGTAGGAGATCGACTCCTGAAAAGTCAGACAATGAGAGCGTTATCCCCAAAAGAATGTGACAAGGTTAAGTAAAAGTGAAGAAAGCGGACAACCTTGACGAAAATCACTCGGAGTTCTCAATTTCGATAAATAGTGTTTAAGTGAACAGCCTACACAAGGTTAATGCACCTTTTTGGTGAGCCTTTCAATAAGAACCATCCATAAAACTTATCGATTTACAGAATCGAATACTAGCTTAGAGTGGAATACAACTATAGTCGGACGTCGATAGATACGCCCATGTTCTGAAATCTGATGAGGATTTGGTACATTCACGTCACAAGATTGCTTTTCCTGAGTTTGATCGTTATGAAATCCAGATAAGTGTCTGATAATTGTAAGAGATCATCAGGTCTTAGCTAATGATACATACTGTTCGATTTGAGTGTTTAGACATCGAGAACTTCAGCATGTATCTTAAAGAAGTGTTTCGAGGTACTTGGAATGATATTTCATGGAATAATTAACACTGGTGATATAAATAGAGGTCAAAAACCTATGAAGGTGAATAGTGCAAATAGGAATATTTGATAGTGAAGACGGTGTTTAGTTATGACCAAAGTGATCAGTGTATTCTTTTGATATAATTTCGAAAACGAATACTGGATTTAAGTACTGAGGTCTAACAAGTCGATAGGTGGAAAAAAGTTACATTTGGTGATCTCTGTTGCTGAGAATATATGATTCCTAAATAAAATGTATACGAAAGAGGGTCAATCTTACTTTCGCATATAAATATAAGGTTTTTGTTCAGTCAACTTTTACGCATTTGGTTGTGTAAATTATTCAGAATGGCTTCTATAGTTCTTCTTGTTATGACCCAGCTAATCTTAGTGCTTATTCTTGGACACTACTTCACTCGACAAGACAGAACACGACCGAACAGGAATGAAATTATATTCCAAATAATAAGAGTGAATGGAAGTAGGAATCACAATAAGACAAGCGTTGGCACATTTATAATTTTTACATAAAAGGATTCTTGAGTCTTCTTGAAGTCTCCGCTAGCATTGATTGGTTAGGAAATGGCCAATCAGAGCGTCCAATCTTAATCCTGCACAGAACATGCTTCAGTCAGTCACAACGTAGAACTTCGTACGTACGTACATCAGTTCGAGTTGCCATACCACATTAACACAGAGAAGCAGTTGTCGATTCAAATCCCATAGTGGTAAAAATAGTAAGAGTATATGCATTATGTGAAAGATTAGGATTTGAAGATGTGTTATTCAAGGAGTATAATCCAATAAAATAAATTTGGAAAGAGAAGAAAGATAGAGACATGAATAATTCAGAAGTTTAGAATTTGGCAGAACACAAAGAGTGGATGCCCCTTCGCCATTGCAAGGTCTCTAACCATCGATTGCTATCATCTCGCGCATCCCAACCAGGTAGTCTACATGCTTCAACCTAATCTATATCCCGCTAACAACTTATGTTTACTGACTTCCAACGTAATTCAGTTGTAATTAGTGACTTGATCTTTTGTTGCATTTTATCAATATGATTTGTATTCAGCGAAAATAACTGTTTATAGACTATAATCATTGTAACTGAATACAAATGATTACCTTCAGTGTAAATAATAAGTTCCCCAGGATCGTCACCAATACATCTTTTTTAGAAAACTCCTCCCATCCATTGCGCAGGGACTATCATTGAATGTTGTGTATTAGTTCTCTGGTTTGTCCAGTTAGCATAGATTCCGTTCCGTATTATAAGTCTCCAAGCCTTCGTAATCCGAAATACAAAACAGAATTTCAATTCACAACACCTGTGTGAGTCGCTTATGATTATTTTTACACCACGTAGAGCGTTGAGTTTTGTAACGATTCGGTTTCCGACCCGCATGACATTTAGCTTGTGAATGTTACTTTAAAGATGGTAAAGTGGCAAGAGGATTATGCTGTTGGAAACGTTTAGTTAGTCAATGTTTTCTGATGGTGGACGCTGAATTGTTTTTATGTGAGCTTCTAGAAAATTATTTGACCCACAACAGAGAGATCTCCCAAATACAAAACCGTGATTATATAGTCTGAAACGAATCCGGTGACATTGGCCAGATGTGTCATTTTACCTATTTCTGAGGTGTAGCCTGAATTTCCAAAAAATTTAAAGCTTATATAAAGATATCATGATACTAATTTATGATCTTTTCTCGAAAGTGTAAGATATACGGATATATCCAACAATGGCTAGAATAAGCTGTAAAAAGCCAGGGGTGTCCAAAATAATACGCGATATCAGTTCATGAAATCATTGACTGTTCATCTGAACCATATTGGTAAGCCCAGACAGCTTGAATAGGGTCCGCATGACCACTGGTGGACGCTGCGTGAAATGGCTTAGAATCGGCCATTGTAACAGGCAGATCTACCCTTTAGATTGTGGGTTTCTGTGTTCCTTCGCCCATACCTTCATATAGATCTAATGTTCTTTTTTTCTTATTACCATTGCTACTACAATATTTCGACTTTGCCAATTTTATTAACTTCAGTTTATTGCGATGATGTGGTATGGTAACGGGCTAACGTACACTCGTTCCAGGCTCGATAATTGTAGCTGACAGACTGATACCCAACTATCTCGAAATATTGGTGGTCATCATTTAAACCGTGTTCAGATAAAATTCCGGAGTTACTCAAATACATTTAGTGCTAGTATCAACATCCCTAATAAAATATGGTGTGATGGTTGGAGAACAATAACTCTAGAGAATAGTGAAG